GGCTAGAACTGTCTCATTTAGATACTGTAGATAGATCAGCCTAGAGCTACCTACTGTATCTATGAATTATGGGAATTAATATTAATTAGCTGTTAGCTCTTGCCAATTCACAATGCTTGTAAAAGCACAAGTTTCTGTTGACTTCTACCTTTTTATTTGCATATATGCAAACTTCATTATTACATTTTCATCTGATCTTGTCAGATCCCGGAAGCTCAGCAAGACTGAACCTGGCCAGTACAGGTAACCCTAAGTATAAAGAACTAATAGGGGGAACGGGTCTCCATTAGTGCCGAATGGACATTCATCCCAAAAACACATTATTATATAAGAATATATTTACGATACATATACTTTTGGATCTTTTGACAGTTTTTTTTTAAAGTAATTGCAATCAATGAAAATTGTTCCTGGTATTTTCATCATTATATAAATATACATGTGCATGTGCCTTAAATATACTGCTTAAAATTTGTTGAAACATACGAAACAAACAACACCCATTGTACTGTAAGCAACTGACCTAACCCTATAGGACACTGAATTTGAAATCTATGCAGCATTTATTTTTATATTGTTTGTTTTTTTTGTGGAATTTATAGATCTTCTTTACATATTCTTTATTTGAGTAATTTTAGTAATTTTAGTGTATTTTTTTAAATTATTGTTTTTAAAAAATGAGTAAAAGATATGAAACATAAACAACACCCATCCATCCCTTTTCTAACTGCTTCATCCAATTTAGAATTGCAGGAGAACCAGAGCTTATCTCAGCAAGCATTGAGCACATAGCAGGATGCCAGTCCATCACAGGGCACACACTCTCACACCAGGGTCAATTTTCCCAGAAGCCATTTAACCTACAAGTACTGTATGTCTTTGGATGTGGGATGAAACCAGTGCACCCAGAAAAAACCCATGCAAACAGCTCCGGGATTTAACCAAGGAGCCTCAGCACTGCGAGACAGCAATGATTACAACTTCACCACCGTGACTCCCACAAATAACACCCATCATAAGCAATTCAGTATTTCAGGGAAAGACCCATATTTACAGACTTAATCCTGCTTTTGTTGATTTTGTTTGTTAAATCTGGACTCCATTAAAATGAAGTCCATTAGACCAAGAGTTCACTGTACTGGGATGAGAGAAATAGTCAAAACCAGGTTGCTGCTGTAAGTAGTGCCAGAGGAAGATTGCAGTATGTGACTTTTCTGTCTAGACCATAATTTCTACAACAATGTCTCAGTATTTTGACCAGGGACACTGTGGTATAGGAAGTGTTATTCTGATGAGTCATTAAACGGAGGTGCTGAGTACTTGATCATTAAACACTGAATGAGTAGGCGTGTTAACTCCTGTCTTCTTGCTAAATTATCTTTGGGCTTATACAATCTGGCCTCTCTAAAGTTCTTTCTTAGTTCAACTTGTGAAAAAAATCTAACTTCTCATTTGCCTCATTTGCTACTGTATGTACTGTAGTAGCATTTATGGCACACAATAGCTACTGTTTGTTACCCAGATGGCTGTGCACTGCAGTGGTAAATTATGTAGTTCCCCTTCTACATGTAAAGTGCTCCTTTGATCTATTTGTAAAAGAGATCCTTTGGAGCGAAAACCACTAGAATACAAAATATAAGAAAGTCAAAGTTTTTTGAGTTTTTGGTACTTTGAGCGGAGTCTCCAGAAAGTGTTTTATAATTGTAATGAATTCTTATTGTTAAAGGTAATTAAGATTAATGCCATATTTCATAGCAACTGTTTGCTCTTATCTATCTGTCCACCTATCATTTAACACCGGAGAAGTGCATTGCCATAATAATACCTTTTCCAAGAGTGCCATTGCCAAGGTATTTTAGGGGAAATCCAAAATGAAATCATGGTTTTATAACTGTTCTTAAAAGGGTCTAGGAAAAAGAAACAGTTTGATGTATTCCACACAATGTGCATAATTTTCCCCTTAGATATCCAAGTTTTTTGTAACTTGGAAGAAAAGTTGTGTATTTAGTATTGCCTTTAAAGCAAAACTAGATTAATAAAGAAACTTGCTTTTGTCCCCATTAAAAAGTAACAAAAACCTGTTCAAGTTTATAGCAAGACATTCTTTCACACGCACAAAAAGACAGCACAAACATGCCCTGTACTCTTAATGTCAATATTCAGAAAAACTCACAAGGGGGCCCCCTGGGATGTGAACTTTATCACAGAGCCCCTCACTTTATAACAAGGCCTCAATTTATCCAGAGTTCAGTTACCCCACAAAGTCCCTCAATGTGATGAGGGGTCAAGGTGGAGAACTGAATGACCAAAAATAACTTCTTAAGCAGCTGGGTTTATGGCAGGGTAATTTAGTTGTGTGCAGACACTCACTACGTGGCCTGGATACATATACAAAAGGTTTATTATATGTGACTGGATTCTACAGTTTACTGAAAACCAGATGACCTGTAGAGTTCATGTAGTCATGTATATATTTTAAGTAAGATGCAGAGTTTGGAAAATTGCTCAAGACAGGGTTAGTCAGTATTCCTTGCACATACAGCATGTTTCCCGTTAGTTTGAAGAGAAGAAGGGTGACTAAAAAAATTCAAACACCTGGCAGCCAGATACCTATATCATTTCTTTCACTTAATACATAGGTCCAACGTATGAGTGAGAGAGTGCCTTAGACAGACAGAGGTCAAGAGACAAAAAGATAAAGAAAACGGGTTTACTCCAAATTACCAAACTATTTGAGACACTATCAATGAACAAAATACTTAGGCAAACTAAGGAATTGTCAAAGGTGACCCATGACCTCTCTTCCCAAGGTCTCTCTTCCCAGGGCTTCGAAACGTGATTTCAAACCTATGATAAATAGGTTTATCATAGGTTACATTTCCACACATATGTGATCATTTAGGAACCATAGGAACCCTAAAGTCATTTGACTAATGTCTTTGAGCAAGCAACAGCTGCAATGAACACAGACTGTTTATGATATGGTATATTTAGATTTTCAGAGGGTTATTGATAAAGTCCTTAAAAAAAGTCCAATTCATGGAAATGCATGTACTGTACGTGTATCAAGAACAGAGTAAAATACAGGAAAAAGCCAGTACAAGGTAAGCGGTGAATGCTAAAACTGAGACGCTTTAAAGCTTTATTACTGTACTGTACAGTATGCCCACTGTTCCTTCTGAGTTATGTCATTGCTGTATGTACTGAAATAGTCAGTAAAGTGGTGGATGCTGCACATTGGTGGTGGAAG